CTTGCCACGTGGGAGTCCAATGCCTTAACTACCATGCCACCTGCTGGCTCCTAGTTTTTTCCTAAAACTATCTGAATAGCTAATACGCTCCCCAGAGGACTCTCCTATCACTCAGGAGGCCCCTCCTTAAATAGGAACACAAACCCCAATCTCTCAAACTTACTTTTCTCCTCTGATTACATTGATGATACCTGCTGTAGAAAATCTGCTATCCAGAGATATATGAAAGGCAGGAAATACATTCTTACTTTATCCTACCAATCGTCAATCTCTGTCAATAGCTGATACATTTCCTTCTAGTCCTTTCCTTTGCTTATGACAAAGTTATGTGTTCTATCTGTATTCTATCTTTTTTGTTAACATTATGGCATATGCAAATCACATGTGATTATAAGTTCTTCTTAAACTTTATTTTACTGGCTGTAAAAATTCCATTGTAAGCACAACCAGGCCTTACTTTTTTTTTTTTTTTTAAAAGAGAAAGTCATGGGGCCAGCCGGTGGCATGGTGGTTAAATGCTCTCTCACTTTCCCTTTCTCTCTGTCTCTCTCTCTCTGTCTGGTCAAATTAAAAAATAATATTAACAAATGGAATTAAATAAATAAAATTTAATAAATAAATAGAGAAAGTCGTGCGAAGTCATGATCCTCTTTCCTCTGCTTCCTGACTAAGTGGGACTATACACATACTAACTACACCTGGACTTTAGGGTGGGTTGGGAATGGAACCTGGGCCTCCCAGGTGGCCTCAGCTTGCAGAGGAGCAGTGTGTACCAGCCTGCACTTTTGTATACTGCTCTCATTTGTGTTTTTTAGGCACTATAAGTATGAGGGGACTTCAAAAGTTTATGGAAAAAATGGGATTAGGGGCTGGCAGGTGGTGTGGTGGTTAAGCGTGCTGGACTCCCACATGGCTGACTGAAGTTCGAGTCCCAGACCTGGCAGCTTGCTTTCTCACTTTCTTTCTCTCTTTCTTGCTCTGCCCCTCTCCGGTCAAAATTTGAAATAAAGGGACCAGCAGTTAGCGTAATGGCTATGTCGCCGGACTCCCATGTAGTCAACCACGGTTCAAGTCCTAGACCCGGCGGCTTAAACTCACACCGGGCACGTGTGCGTGCATGCCCAAGATCCCGACAGGAGAATGGAGGAGAAGGGATTCTTTTCCTTTTTCTAAAGCTCCAAGACAAGCAAAAAATAATAAAGGAAAACATGGTTTCATGCCAGAAAATAAAATAGAAACAATTCCTCATATCCAACATAATTTTGAGTCTCCTACATTATCCAAAATATATATGCTGCAAACTGAAATTTCCAAATTAGATCCACCTTCTTCTTTCAGCTAAAGATGAAAATAAAGCAAGGTTTTGTCTTCTTTAGAGTTATTTTTATTTAGAATTTGCAACATGAAAAATATATTGTTCCAAAAAGAGTTACTTGACATCAAAGTCCAATAAAACAGTAAACTGGACTAAATATATTCATATATTAGCTTGACCTAAGTCTGGGAATTGAGCCAGATTTTCCAAATTATACTATCATTATTTACAAAAAAAGGAAATGTTAACTAACATTATTAAATAAAAGCACATATACACAGGCATAACAGGAAACAAAATAAACGTTAACTAGTCAATGTCGAAGATGTGTATATATACACAGAGTGCAAATATAATATTCTCTTGAGCAGTGTTGGAAATAGTAGCTATTCCAGGGAGAGATTTATACAATCCTCTTGGCTACAGGCTACACATTTGTTGTGTTCTCCAAATACACAGGAAAGCCACTTCCACAGTTGCCTGAAACAAAATTGCAAGGATACATTTTGCAGTGAAAGTTTTCTCACTGTTCTATTTCTTGACCAATGGAAGAAAATGAAATTTAGGTGTTTGAAAAAGAAAATGTACTATATACCATACCTTAGTCTTCTATGAAATACAAATGTCTCTTCTACACTTAAATAAAAATTTGCATATGTTTAGTAAGTTGCTATTTTGTGTTTGAGATGGACACTGTCTTAAGTCCTAGTTTATTTTCTACAGTCTGTTTGATTAAGGGTAGATATGCTGGCATTTTGTTTGGATTTATTATTAAGGAAAATTATGTTTTTTTAAAGTGGTTTTCCTGATCAGACTAGACATTTAGGCCACCTATGGCAATGAGCTTCCCTTTTTGCTATCTGATCATTTTGCACTGCTAAGATGTTCTTTTTGAGGGGGCGCTTGATTTCTTTAGGGACTTAGCAGCACTGTAGCTTGTCTGAAGGGGGATGAGCCCAGACAAGAGGGAGAGGATGATGACAGGAATGCATAATTGGGATATGCTGCCCTGGGGAAGGAAGAGCTCGTGACTCGTGAGATGTGGTACCATGCCACTGTTCTCCCAACGCTGTGTGCATTCTGGAGAGACAGTGTGTAGAGTGTGCCCTTGCAGAAACAACTCAGTCGCTGAAGAAATACACACTGCAACATGCTCAGACATGTTTTCCTTGAAGGTTAAAAATCAGAAAAGTGTGCATCTCTTTAAGAAGTTTCTAAACCATCCTTGTGAACAGTAATCCAACATTTCAACTTAGAAATTGAGAGGGCTTTAAATAAGAAGTGATTATTTCAGGCAGAAAGCAAATATAAATACCAGCAGTCAAGAAACCTATGAAAAGACATGATTAAAACTGAGATTTAAAAAAAATATATATCTGTAGTTCTTGACTTTAAAAATCCACAGGCAGTTTCCATTGAGGAAAGAATAAGAAACATTAAACTGTTAAAGAAAAGCATAAGAAACATTGGAAGCAGATTTGGAAAAGATTAGCATCTTGTTACTGAATCCAGCACTAAACGTAGAACGCTTCTCAATGATCCGAAGTTTGAGGGACAATAAACCACTATTATTATGACTTTTACTTTATGAATGAGAGAAAGAGAAAGAAGGAGAGGAGGAGAATCACAGATAGACGGGCACTCTGGACAGGGCCTTGCTGGGTTTGAGTCCTCCTGCCCTAGCCTCCCTATTAGCAAAGACCACGGACACTCCGGCTTGGCATGTCATATTGGCCCAAGAACCAAGCCTGAGCCTCCTTACAGCCTCCAGCCTCCTTACAGCCTCCAGCCTCCTAAGTGGTGACACTCCCTGTGTGTCACTGCAGCAGGGTCTATGATTATTTTTACTTTTACTTTTAATGGTGTCATTTGCCAATCAGCTAACACATAGGAATAGACCTAATCTTTTATTTATTTTATCAGGAATATAATAGTCTCAGTTTTTTCAGGTTTTGCCATAGGACATGCGAACTCTCCAGAGAGACAGAGAGGTGAAGTGAGAAATTACCTTCCACCCCAGACGGGCTGGCCACACTGCAATCTGTTCTTCTTCATTCTCCTCCTGAGATTTTACGGGTGCACACACATGTACTCAGAATGATTTTCAAGCCTTTCTATCCAGGACTTGATCTGCCATCAGCTCTGTGGGAGTCCAGTGTCTTAACTACCATGCACTCGCTGACCCCATAGTCTTTAACTTATGGATACATTTAAATCAAATTGCCTGACTGCGCATTATTAATGCATCAAAACCAGGTCAGACCGTATGTTATTGGAAAATCTTTTCTTCTGTCTCAGGCCCTTCACTTCCCACTTGCCAAATCGATTTTTCCAAGGTCCTGTCACTCTGGTCTCTGCTCCTAAGCTGTCCTTCACATACTACCGTTCCGTGGCTGCCTTCATTATTTTAACTGTTTATTAGTGGTGGAGATACACTTTTAAAAACAAATTAAATTATTATCAATAAATGTAAATATTACTCTCTGAAATTACTCAGGGATATGCATTATGTAAACGCTTTTCAACCAACAGGTAGTGTCTCTTCCTACCTATATGTCAGTGAACACAAATTTATTCATTCTTCTTAATGGCTATATAGTATTTCTCTGTATAATCACTTTGCAATGGTAATTAAATTTATTGACAAATGGAACAATGCCTTAGTAAATCTTTGGCCATTTCTCCCTCTCTACCTATTATGTAGGTATCTGTTAACCACATTCTAGATACACTATACACCTCTTCATGAGAATCTACACAAAAATTGTGCAGATAGCTTTTTAAAAAAATGCAACACTTCTCTTAAGCTCACACTTCTTAAAATTCTGGGCAGCAATAGTCAGCCAAATGTGTGGAAATAAGTTCCACTTGTGTATTAAAAATTATTCACATAAAATTTAAAGCTAGCTAAGAATTTATTGAAACAATTTTACACACCATCTCTCCAAATCTGATTTAAAGAGACTGTAACATAATTCCAGCAATAAAGACTTTCTGGAATTGAAATCTATGGAAAAGAGATTATAGCTCCATGAGAAATGCGAAAGGTCTGAAAGACTTCTAGGCAGTCGCTTTTCTTTCCATACTAGAGATTGAATGTGGATTCTGAAAGCTCTGCGTCAGCAAGCGCACGCCTGGTCCGTGGGTGCTAGACTTTGTATTGCATACCCCTCTCCACTTTGGAAAGAAAACTTACTTGGGCACAAATCACTGTACTATTGTTCTGTTTACATTAAAACCTTGTATCGACTTTGAGGGTGAAGCGGAGGGAAGAAATGTTGTGGATCCTCATTGAGAGAATGCTTCCATGAAACCATTATCTAATCAATGCAACTAAAGTCAGTCTTGAGAATAGCATCACTTCTGATTTCATGCTGATAATGTCAGAAGAGAATTCAGAGACAGAACATTTCGTTCTATTTTGAAAACTATTATTTTTTATTTATGTTTTTAGAGAGGTATATTTGCTATAGGGTGCATGCACTTGCAGAGAGACAGAGGTAGGAAGTAAAATTCCACCCCCAGGAGGATGACCACACTACAATCCATTTTCCTCCATTCTTCCCTCTGGATTTTGGGCATGCAGGCACATGTGCCCAGTGTGAGTTTCCAGCCACTAGGTCCAGAACTTGAACCGCTGTGGGTCATGTGGGAGTCTAGCCGTGTAACCATGATGTCATCTGCTGGGCTAAAACCTTTTTCTATTAGAGAGAGCTGTGTACTATAGGGCACGTGCACTCACCAGAGAGACAGAGAGACAGAAATTGAGAAATTACACCCCAGGGAGATGGCCACACCGCAATCCCTTCTCCATAATCCTTTTGGGATTTTGGGCATGTACTCATTTGAGCCTGGCATGAGTTTTAAGCCACCGGGTCCTGGACTCAAACCGGGGTCCACTCTGTGCAGCGACCTAATCATTACACCATTCACAGATCCCCAAAACTATTTTTTAAGTGTGACACTTTATGAGGACTCATTCTTTTGAAAAATTGTCTCAGTTCAAGAAAAGTAACAGAACAGCAAAGGATGGTGGTCTTACTTTTTCCATCCTTTAGAATGTTAAATAGTGCCTCAAAAATGTATTTGGATCTGGGAAACTTACTGAACTTATGGGAAGTCACCCCGTTTTGGCTGAGGATACAAAAATCAGACTCGTTTTTTTTTGTGGGTTACATGGCATTTTCTGGGGGAAGGAGTCAAAGCCGAGCCAGCACAGACTAGGCATGGCGGCACTTTAATGCCATATATAGAGAGACAGAGAAAGAGAGAGAGAGAGAAATTTTTTTTGCTATAGGATGTGGTCACTGGAGAGACACAGAGAGAAAGAAAGCCAGAAATAATGCCCTCAATATTTTCCATCTCATATGTCAGGCCCAAATTGTAATTGCAAAGCTCACAGCAGCTACCTGCACTGGGTGGTTCTCACTCAAATGGGAACACTCACCATTTCTCTTCTCTTCATGAATGTGTGTGCATGCGTATTTTCAATAAAAAGCCAAAAAACAGTTTACAATTTGAATGAAATTCTTCACATAAAAAAAGTAATCCAAAAGAGTGGTATTTTGAATCTTGACCAAGAATTCAATAAATGGCACGATTTTGTCCATGCAAACGTGTATGTCTTCAGGTTTGTTGTTTATTCAAAATTATTTTTTTCATATAAAACAACAGATTAAATTTAGCTCATATGACCACACAAAACTGACATTTTTCTTTTCCTTAGTTGTTTTAACATACACAGTAAGAATAATTTTTAAAATTCTACTTATAGTGTCTGAAAAACAAAAAACAATGTTACCTTAACATAGTACACTTCCATGAACTCATTTATACTCACTGTCCAGTTTAACCCAATAACAATAGTATATAATCACTATTGTAGTTGGTTTAAAGGGCTACTGCAGTGCTCTATTAAGGATTTTGAGGCATAAACTTGCTATATTTTTAAGAATTATTCATTTAATTTTATTTCTTCTTATTATTTTTAAAATTTGACCAGACAGAGAGAGAGAGAGAGAGAAAGGAAACGTGAGAAAGCAAGCTGCCAGGTCCAGGACTCAAACTGCAGCTTGCCACGTGGGAGTCCAATGCCTTAACTACCATGCCACCTGCTGGCTCCTAGTTTTTTCCTAAAACTATCTGAATAGCTAATACGCTCCCCAGAGGACTCTCCTATCACTCAGGAGGCCCCTCCTTAAATAGGAACACAAACCCGAATCTCTCAAACTTACTTTTCTCCTCTGATTACATTGATGATACCTGCTGTAGAAAATCTGCTATCCAGAGATATATGAAAGGCAGGAAATACATTCTTACTTTATCCTACCAATCGTCAATCTCTGTCAATAGCTGATACATTTCCTTCTAGTCCTTTCCTTTGCTTATGACAAAGTTATGTGAATCTGTATTCTATCTTTTTTGTTAACATTATGGCATATGCAAATCACATGTGATTATAAGTTCTTCTTAAACTTTATTTTACTGGCTGTAAAAATTCCATTGTAAGCACAACCAGGCCTTACTTTTTTTTTTTTTTTTAAAAGAGAAAGTCATGGGGCCAGCCGGTGGCATGGTGGTTAAAAGTGCTGGATTTCTACATGGCCAACTATGGTTCGAATCCCAGACCTGGTGGTTTGCTCTCTCACTTTCCCTTTCTCTCTGTCTCTCTCTCTCTGTCTGGTCAAATTAAAAAATAATATTAACAAATGGAATTAAATAAATAAAATTTAATAAATAAATAGAGAAAGTCGTGCGAAGTCATGATCCTCTTTCCTCTGCTTCCTGACTAAGTGGGACTATACACATACTAACTACACCTGGACTTTAGGGTGGGTTGGGAATGGAACCTGGGCCTCCCAGGTGGCCTCAGCTTGCAGAGGAGCAGTGTGTACCAGCCTCAACTTTTGTATACTGCTCTCATTTGTGTTTTTTAGGCACTATAAGTATGAGGGGACTTCAAAAGTTTATGGAAAAATGGGATTAGGGGCTGGCAGGTGGCGTGGTGGTTAAGTGCGCTGGACTCCCACATGGCCGACTGCAGTTTGAGTCTCAGACCTGGCGGCTTT